GCTTCTTGGACAAGCAAAACGTTTTCAAAGAAAAAAAAAAGTCCTGTTGCCTTTTGAACAAGCACCTTTGGAATTACAAACCAATTAGAAAAACATCAATATCTGGGAAGATACTGGATAAAAATAATCAAAAACTAGTAGCCAGCACAGGTTTGTTAAAAAAAGTTCATGCCAAACCAGTCTTATTTCATTCTTTGACAGAGTGACTAAATTAATAGACCAGCAAAATGTTGCAGACATAGCATACTTAGACTTCAGCAAGGCATTCAACAAAGTAGACCACAACCTACTACTTGGTAAACTAGAAAACTGTGGGAAAGCACAGGGATACAGCACTCAGGACCTAAGACTGGGCTGATGATTCACTTTCCAACATTACACCTATCCTAAGCACACAGCCAAAACAGCACAGGAGTGGCGTAGGAATAACTATGTGAATCTCCCAGAGTGGCCCAGCCAGAGCTCTGACTTGAATATCTCTGGAGGGACCTGGCAATGGCTGTCTACTGATGGTTGCCTAAGCTTGAAAGAATTTGCAAGGAAGAATGGCAGAAAATCCCCCAGGTGTGTAAAGCTTGCCACGCCATATCCCCAAAAAACTTGACACTGTCATTGCTGCCAAAGGTGCTTCAACAGGACACTGAATGAAAAGTATGAATATTTACGTCAAAGTGATATTTCAGTTTTTAAATAAATTTACAGACATTTCTAAAATTCTGTTTTCACTGGGTCCTCATGGGGGTACTGACTGTAGACTAATGAAAAAAAAAGTGAATTTCAACAACTAGAATCAGGCTGCAGCATAACAAATTTGACAAAAGTGAAAACTTTCTGAATGCACTGCATATGTGTGCCTATTGACACAGAAATCCACACCTAAGAATTCATTTATGCAAACAATTATGTGTATTTCAGTGTGCAAAATGCCCCCAAAGTGCATTTTGCCCATGAAACTCCTCGCTTGTCAGGAATACAACCTGTCAATAAAATCACAACGAATGAAGTGTTACGTGAAGGCTGAGGGAGATGGGCCGTTACAAAATATGAAATAGAAATAAATATATATTTTAAAAAAACCTCCCAAATCTCCCAGCAGAAAATCACAGGCAGCAGTTTTAAATCGTGCAGCCAGAGGAATAAAATTTAGGGAGAGAAGGAACGTGCAGCAGCAGCCGATATCTTTCAGCCTCGTCCCGTTGCTGTTTCCACACCGCGGAGGAAACCAAACAGCCCGACTTGCTCCCGGCTTCTCCTCCGACCTGCCCTCCACTCACCTCCCAGGAGCCGCTTCGACCCTCGAAACAGGGGAAGACGCTCCGCCGACGCCATCTTCCTCCCGTGGCTGAGCCGGAAAAGGAAGTTCCTTTCTTCTCCGCCTCCTCTCCTCCACATCCTCTCTAGTAATACAATGCTCTATCGTTTCAGTTCGTTCCAGCTCAGCCTTTCTCCCTCCGGTACGAAATTAGCACTAACGATGCCGGCTGCTTTTATTCTCGGCTTCCTAGGCACGCGTGTTCCCGATTTGTAGAGCGCCATCTAGCGACATAAGGCTGAAAATCGCGCTCGTCCTGTCTCTACCCTCAAGCGTTGGCAAGATGTTTTTATTGATTCCGGGTTTATCTACCATCAAGTCGTATTTCTCTGCCAACGAACGCATCAATTGGTTTTCTCCCTGAGGATCTCTCCCAAACCTTTTCTTTCAGGTCTCCCAAGAGTGCAGTCATTGTCCCTCTTGCTGCAACTAAACCAAAGGAAAGTAGAAATCATGTAAGGGAGAAATGATGGACAACAGCCAACCAGAAGGCGCATTTTCCTTTGGGGCTGGTGACGATGGTTCCAGCCAGTTTTTCATTTCCTTGGGGGGTGCAAGATAACTCCTCGAAACCTGCCTCGGAAAACGATTGAAGCTGTAAGAGTGAAGCTTCACCCTCCTTGGCTTCATAAGAGTAGCAGGTGCTGCGCCCTAAAACTTCCTGAAGTATTTCTGTGTGAGTCCGTATGTAGTTGTCAGCTTCATCCTATTTAGGGGTCTTCTAATTTGGCCCTTTTATGACTTGTGGACTTCAACTCCCAGAATTCCTCAGCCAGGCGTGCTGGGAGTTGAAATCCTCAAGTCATAAAAGGGCCAAGTTTGAAGACCCCTGATCCTACTAATAGAATGAATGAAACACGGGAGCAACCATAAAACAATGGCCTCACCAGAGGAAGATTTAAGGTTTTGAATGGCCCAGCTAGAGGCGGGACTTGAATCCAATTGAAAATCTTGGGGTGACCCTCACAACCTGACAGATTTGGAGCAATTTGCTAGGAAGATTGGGCAAACATTCCCAAGGCAAGAATGCCAGGCTCCTATCTCAAAAGCCTGCATGCTGTGATAAAAGAATTAATTTAAGGGTGCGCATCTTTATGAAACCATGTTATTGTAAGTTTATTATTGTTATTTTCCCTCATAAAATATTTGTTTTTCGATTGAACTGTACACCTTTTAAGTCATATTAAAGGTGAAAAAATTCTGAGGTGATTTGTCTTGGTCTGATTTACTTACATTCCAAAAACCTGGCATTTTACGAGAAGTGTGGAGATATTCTCTGTGCCCTGTATATCTGGGGATAAGATGATATACTGCAGATGCAAATTTGTGTACAGAGAGAAATTTACATGCCTACGAATGTAAATTTGTAAAATACCCATGTTTATTTTAGCCTGAAAAAATGTCCCAAAATTGTTATTGAGTTAATTTTAGAGATGTTGGGGGCTTTAACTGATGAAATGATACCTAAAGTCTCTGCAAGATTGAAGCACCAGTTTTGCCCGTGGAAGCCCTCAGCTCCAAATAAGGGCAGAAAATAATATCGACAATCCTTATGGCGACATTTCCATTCAATGTAGATGTTGGTCATCACCTTTAAAAGCAATTTATTTGAGTAATAGCTATTAGACTTATATACCACATCTCAGAGCTTTAAAGCACTCTCGGTTTAGTGTCAGCATATGGCCCCCCCAAAATGGTCACATGATCAAAATTCGGATGCTTGGCAAGAGGGGGGATTTGCACATGGGTCACTCATGTCTTTGTCACCACCTATTTGGATCACTACACTGGGCCACCCAGAACCTTCAACTGCTCCAGAATGCAGCAGTACAGACACCAATGAAGCCCCCTAGGTTGGCCATTTAAAATCTCTGTGGTGTGAGATGCAATGGATTCATTTCTTTAAGGTGCAATTCAACATGCTGGTCACCTTTAAAGCTACTTCTTTATTATAGCAATAGCACTTAGAATCATATACCACCCCAAAGTGTTTTATAGCCCTCTCGGTTTACAGAGTCACCATATTGTTCCCAACAATCTGGGTTCTCATTTTACTGAACTCAGAAGGATGGAAGGCTGAGTCAACCTTAAACCCCTTCAGGATTGAATTCCAGAGTCAGCTGGCAATACTGCCTTCTAACCACTGAAACACCAGGACACCTGTCATTATTGTTTTAAATATTGCCATTGAATAAGAGCTGGGAAGTGAGCCTTTTCCATTGCCCTATGAGACACTCTTCCCCCTGAAGTATGGAAGGCCTTTATCCTCCTAGTCTTCCATAAACCAAAGCAGATCTAGCTTTTCCCCTAAGCCAGTGATGGCCAAGCTTTTAGAGACCTAGTGGCCAAAAACCACCCCGCCTCCTCATCCACCCCCGCTCTGCACCCAGCCCACCTGCATGGCCACCCACCGGCTCCATAGCCCACCACAGCAGATTGTCCAGGTAGCCCAGCAGTGCCATGGTGGCCTAGCCCTCTGTCCATGCCCTACAGCATCATCTGTGTCTGACAGGGTGCAAGGGCAGAGTCTTGTCCTCGCTGCCTGGCTGCCATGCCCTTGGCTGTGCTGCTCTACGCGGACTGCACTTGGGGGCAAGGCTCCTCCAGGGAGCTGCTGGTGAGGAGGGGGCCATGGGGGAGGCGGGGCTGGGGCAACGGTCCACGTGCCCAAAGAGAGGGCTCCGAGTGCCACCTCTAGCACGCGTGCCACAGCTTCGTGGGCCATCATTGCCCTAAGCATTGGGATAAGAAGAGGTGCCTGCACATCAGAAGCTTGAATTGGAACCAGGTTTTTCTTTAATGCATTTGGGTTTAATATGTTTTTTAAGTTATTGATTAGGACCCAGCCAGTTTGTTAATATGGATGGTTAAATAAATATTTTAAATAAATTGGAGGAACCCCACTGAGGCTGCCCATCTGCAATTCACTTGAGGCACCAAAGGTCTACGCATTTCTTTAATTATCAAATTTATAGGCCGCTAACCCTGAGGTTAACTTCTCCAATTTAACTCCTTGCAAGGAGAAAGTTTTCCAGTTTGGACCAAGAATGTCAGGAGGCATGAATGTAGCTACTAAGACCAGGAGGCCTGGTTAACTTGAACAAAATTCGAACAAAAGCAAGAATTACCTTTTTCGGATGCCCAGACATCAAAATTCAATCAACCATGTCAGAAGAGACCTGTATTTGCAGCTTAAGTACATGTTAAATGTGGAGGCTTTGCATTTCACTGTTTGCAAGGTAGTCAGTTTATTGTTTTCTGTATTCAGGTTTTATTGCTGTAAACCATGTGGAATCACCTTGAGCTGGACTGCTATATATATTTAATAAATAAAAATGCATAAAAATATTTATATCCTGCTTTATTATATATACAAGTACTTCATGTCAGCACATACCTAATAGAGAGTTAAGCTCCTTTTCTTTGGCTTAGCACAGCAATTCCCCTCAACTCCGTGAAAGGAAACAACTGCACTGGGCCAGAGAAAGGAAGCCCAGATCTCCTCCCTCATTTTTGATACTAAGACATGTTTGATTAAAAAGAATAAGGCAAAAAATTAAATGCTTAGTTTCTCAGCTCATCTTTCAATGAGTGACGAGAAATGAAGTTCAAGATACCTCTACAGAGATCAAATTTCACCTCATGTGGAATTTCTTGTGTTTGATAAGGGAGGAATTCCGTGTGAAACATTTTCCGCAATCTGGGCATTTGAATGGTTTCTCCCCTGTGTGTAACCTTACATGATTGATAAGGCTAGGCTTACTACTGAAATCTTTCCCACAATCCGGACACTCATACAGCTTCTCTCCTGTGTGAGTCCTCCGGTGCATCACCAAACTGGAATTCCTTATGAAACTTTTCCCACACTCAAGACACTCATATGGTTTCTCTCCTGTGTGAGTCCTCTGGTGTATTACAAGGCAGGTATTTTGAATGAAACTTTTCCCACAAAACAGACACTTATGTGGTTTGTCTCTTGTGTGAGTCCTCTGGTGTTTCACCAGGTACGAATTCCGAATGAAACTTTTTCCACAAAACAGACACTCATATGGTTTTTCTCCTGTGTGAGTTCTCTGGTGTTTCACCAGGTAGGAATTTTGACTGAAATGTTCCCCACAATCTGAACACTGATATGGTTTTTCTCCTGTGTGAGTTCTCTGGTGTATCACCAGGTTGGAATTCTTGCTAAAACGCTTGCCACAATCTGGACACTCATATGGTTTCTCTCCTGTGTGGGTCCTCTGGTGTATCACCAGATTGCCATACTGACTGAAATGTTTGCCACAATCTGGACACTCATATGGTTTTTCTCCTGTGTGGGTCCTCTGGTGTATCACCAGATTGCCATACTGATTGAAATTTTTCCCACAATCCGGACACTCATACAGTTTCACTCCTGTGTGAGTCTTGTGGTGTCTCACCAAGTAGGAATTCTGACTAAAACTTTTGCCACAATCTGGACACTCATATGGTTTTTCTCCTGTGTGGGTCCTCTGGTGTATCACCAGGTTGGAATTCTTACTGAAACGTTTCCCACAATACAGACACTCATATGGTTTCTCTCCCGTGTGAATACTCTGATGGTTCACCAGGTTAGCATTCTGCTGGAAACTTTTCCCACAAATTGGACACTCATATGGTTTTTCTCCAGTGTGAGATCTCTGGTGTATCACCAGGTTGGAATTCTTACTGAAACGTTTCCCACAATCTGGACACTGATATGGTTTCTCTCCTGTGTGAGTCCTCTGGTGTATTACCAGGGAAGAATCCCATTTGTAACTTTTCCCACAATCTGAACATTCATATGGTTTTTCTTCTCTGTGAGTTCTTTGGTGACTCAGTAGATTGCCATTCTGACTGAAACATTTCCCACAATCCGGACACTCATACGGTTTCTCTCCTGTGTGAGTCCTCTGGTGTACGATCAAGTTGTAATTATTACTGAAGCCTTTGCCACAATCAAGACATTGAAAGAGTTTCTCCTCAGTGTGAGTCGTCATATCTCTCACCAAATTGGAATTCCAGCTGAAACTTTTCCTACAATCAAGACACTCATATAGTTTTTCTCCTGTGTGACTTTGGTGTATCACCAGCTTGGAATTCTAAGTGAAACTTTTCCTAAAGTCTGGACACTTATGGTTTCTATCCATTGTGAGTCCTGTGTATCACCAGATTTGTGTGCAGGCTAAATCTTTTGTCGTATTGGAAGCTTCTCTCCAGAATCAGTCCTTCCATGAATCATGAAAAAGTTGTTCTGAGTAAAGTTTTGCCGCTCTCCAAACATTCCTATGACTTTTCATAGGGTGGATCCACTCGCGCATATTCAGCCGTGATCTGCAATCTGTATTTTTCCCACAATAGGCACTCTGTGGGGTTTTTCCAACTCTGATAATCTTGGATTCTTGAGGAGGCCAAAAATATTTCTGATCTCTTAGTTTTATTTGGAGGTTCTTTGATTCCTCAAAGGCTTTAATTAATACCTTCCCATTTTGGATATCCAAGGTATCTTTTCCTTCCCACTGACTTCCAGCTATTTTCCATTTTTCTTTCTTTATTTGAAAACTGACCTCCTTGACTTCTCATGTAATGTATCCTTGGGTTCTATACACTTTATTTTTTCATCTCAAAACTCTGTTCTTGTTATTCTCTCCCTTGTTTCTCATCTGCTGAGGAAGGAGAAGTGGTTTTACACTTTCCGGAGGAAGTGGAAAAGATTTTGATTGGTGGTATATTTTAAGGCTGCTTCTCATTCTCTGTTGTTCACATTGCTCTTTTTGGCATCCGCTTTCTCTGTAAGATTCATATTAATGGGTTAGTTTCATTATTGTTTAAAAAAATGGCTGCAGAATATGTGAAAGGAAGAAAAAAACCCTTATATTACCATGAAAACATCAAAATTCTAGTTTAACCTCTAATATTAATGATTCATTTAGCATATAGAAGACTAGTTAGATTCATGTTCAAATATTGAGTCAATCATAAAAATCTATTTGGGGGGGGCTTGGGTAGATAACACATATCTATCTTTATCTCTCTCACACACACTAACTCACTCTCTATTACTCTATCTCTAATTTTATGATTGAGTCTATCTCTCATTTCTATTTCTCTGTCTGCCTGTCTATCTATATGGAGAGAGAGAGAATAATTCTATCTACATTACTCTCTATATCTATATTACTCTATCTCAGTGGTTCCCAACCTTTTCTATACCCCGCACCCCAGAATGCTTCTAATATATTCTTGCACCCCTTACAAATGTTTGAAATAATGAATTGTGCATGTACAGCATAATTTTGAAACTTCTAAAACCAGGTTTTCGCACCCCCTGGAATATTGTCTCCCATTCCCAGAGGGTGCAAGCACCCTTGGTTGGGAACCCCTGTTTTATCTCTATCTCTACCTATCTACGGAGGTATATTGTCTCCATGTAGCAAAAATCAATCACGTAACTGAGTTCCTTATTAAAATAATCAATCCCATGGATTACTACCCTTTCTTCTCTTACATATGGGGACCAATGACACAACAATGAATCTGAAAACAATAAGAAGAGATTACGAACAGCTTGGGAAGAAAATTAAAGAATTAGGAGCATAAGTGGTGTTTTCATCTATGCTTCCAACAAAAGGCCAACATCCAATGAGGGAGCAGAGTATTTTAGAAATGAACTACTGACTTAAAACTAGTGTTGTCCACAGGACTTCAGCTTCCTAGACCATAGTTTGCATTTCTTACATGAAGGGCTACTGGCAAGGGATGGAGTAAACCTCACAAAAACTGGAAAGAATATATATGGAAAACGACTAGCTCATCTTTTTAAAAGGGCTTTAAACTAAAATTGAGGGGGGGGTGACTTTTAGAACCTAATTTTATGTAAAAAGATAACCAATCACATAAGAAGGTAGGGAGTAAAGAGTAAAGACAAAGAAGAAATAAAAAAAGAAAAACATAATGAAGTTGAGAGTGATGGAAAGGATGTAAATCTCAGTTATATAGTAGGAGATATAAGAAGCATACCCAAGACCCATAAAGGACTGAAATGCCTATACACTAACACTCAAAAGTTTAGAAAACAAAAAAGGTGAACTTGAAGCATTAGTACACAAAGGCAGATATGACATAGTTGCCATTACTGAAACTTGGTGGGATGAAACTCATGATTGGAAAGATGGAAGGGTACAAACTGTTCCAAAAGAAACAGACCAAACAAAAGAGGAGGTGTTGCTGCATTATATCAGTGGTTCTCAACCTGTGGGTCAGGACCCTATTTGGGGTCGAATGACCATTTCATGGGGGTCGCCAAACAACGCAGTCTGCCATTTTTTCCCCCTTTTCCTTAGCTGTGCTATTCCCTTTTATTCTATTGGCTTTTGAAAGCCAATAGAATAGACTCTCTTGAATAGAGTCTAATTCTATTGGCTTTCAAAAGCCAACAGGAATTGTCCAGGCTGTCTCGCCCTGCTGAGCCCGCCAAAAGTCCCATTCTGCAAATGGTGCTGCACCAGTTGAGTAGTCCTCGACTTACGACCGGTTGGGGGTTGCGGCATTAAAAAGGTTGAGAACCACTGCATTATATAAAGAAGATCACTACATTTCTATAGAAATACACAAAACCAAGGATGAAAATCCATATGGGGCAATATAAAAGGGAAAAAAATTACATTGCTATAGGCCACCCAACAAAACAGAAGAAATAGATGAACTCTTTACTAATCAGTTAACAAATGTATGTAGGAAACATACCACAGTAGTAATGGGAAACTTTTAACTTCCCTGATATGAACTCGGAGACAAAATCTGCAGCAAGTGGGAGATCGAACAGATCTCAGCTGACAACTTTGTCATTCAAAAGGAGAGAACTAGAGGAGAAGCTATACTGGGCCTAATTCCTACTAATAGAGAAGAAGTGGTAGAGGGAGTTGAAATTGCCAGAACCTTGGGCGAGAGTGACCATGTCATATTTAAATTCAATATAATGCAAACATAAGCAATAGAATATAATCCAACTAAAGCAGGGGTGTCAGACTCACGTCACGTGATGTTTCGCAAGGTATTGTGACTTTTTTGCCATTGCCGGCAGTGGGGTGGGTGCGGTTTCACTATGATGCATCCGGTCCGTGGACCAGCAGCTCGACACCTCTGAATTAGAGTCTTAAACTTTAAAAGAGCTGATTTTAACAAACTCAGAGACAGCCTAAGAAAAATACCATGGATGAAAATCCAAAAGGGGAAAACAACTCAAGAAGCATGGGAAGCTCTGAAAAATATGATCATAAAAGCCCAGTCCACCACAATATCACTGAAAAAGAAGAAATCCAAGAAGAAATGGTTGCACAAAAATCTTTCTGATAAAGTGAAAGACAAAAAGGATAAGTACAAAAAAATGGAAAGAGGGATACATAACTAAGGCAGAATATCAGCAGGTAGCTCGAATCTGCAAAGGTGAAGTTAGGAAAGCAAATGCTCAGAATGAACAAAGAGTTGCAACGAAAGTCAAAGATAATAATAAAAAAGTTTCTTTCAACATATAAATAACAAGAAAAAAGTCAAGGAAAAAGGGCATTGTCTTACCTGAACGCTTTTTCTCAGCAGTATGGTGTAGAATCCACTGATTGGGTAATCTAAGCCTTCTTGCTCAGACTAAGACAAAAAAAACTTTGCCACGCCTCCTTCTGGGTGTGCCTTCCCCAGTTTTGTCGAGGCGAAGCATCCAGGCGCAAGGCTCCAAACAAAAATAAAAGACACATGCCTAGACTAATGACAACAGGGTGGGTGTGGATTCTACACCATCCTGCTGAGAAAAAGTGTTCAGGTAAGACAACGCCCTTTTCTCCAGCAGGATGGGTGTAGAATCCACTGATTGGAACATACCAAAGCCGCTCATGTCCCTGTAGGGAGGGAAGTCTAGGCTAGTGTCCCTTGGGAAGTAACTACCTGCTGTAGGACTCGCCTACCAAAGGCAGCCTCCGCCGCTGCAAATTGATCTATCCTATAATGTTTAATGAAGGAAGAGGGAGAGGACCATGTCGCTGCCCTACAAATCTCGAGTGATGCCTGGGTAGACCAGGCTGCTGAGGCTGCCGCACTGCGCGTAGAGTGAGCCGTGATGTGTGAAGGGACTGGAAGGGACTGAGAAATGTAAGCCCTGGAAATACAAGCCCTAATCCACCGACCAATAGTGAAAGAAGAGAACTTCCTACCCATTGCAGCAGGCTAAAAAGACATGAATAAGGCCTCTGACTTCCTGAAGGCCGAGGTTCATTTAATGTAATGGTGCAAAGCTCTGCGCACGTCCAACGTATGCCACCGTCTTTCCAGATGATGTGACGGGTTAGGACAGAAGTTAGGAAGGACTAGGTCCTGGGAACGATAGAAACCTGTATTGACCTTTGGAATGAATGCGGGATCCAACCTAAGGACCACTCTGTCCTCATGGAATGTGCATAGGTCCTCCCTGACCGACAAAACGGCCAATTCTGAAATTCTCCTGGCCGACGTAATGGCCACTAGGAAGGCCACCTTCAAGGTAAGAAATTGAAGGGAATAAGTGCTCAGAGGTTCAAATGGAGGAGAAGTTAATGCCTGCAACACCTTGGAAAGGTCCCAGGATGGATAACGATGAATCGTTGGTGGCCCGGAGTTGGCTGCGCCCTTGAGAAAGGCACTAACTGCTGGATGTTGAGATAGGGAAACTTGGTTGTCACAGGTGAGAACCGTCGACAAGGCTGCTATCTGCCTGCGTATAGTGTTGGTTGACAGACCTCTATTTAACCCTTCAAGTAAATAATCTAATATGTCTGGGATGGTGGCAGTAAGCGGCAAGAGCCGCTTCTTGGTACACCAAGAACAGAAGTTTCTCCAAGGGTGTTGTAGATCCTATTGGTCAAGGGATGCCGTGAGGCCTGGATCATTGAGATAACCCCGGAGGAGAAGGATTGTCTAGTTAGACTCTCCCGCTCAAGTGCCAAGCGGCTAGTTGGAGCCTCTGTGGATGGTTGGAGGTTCCCCTGGCTGAGAGCTACTCGGTCCGGGGGGATCCTCCACGGGGGCGAAAGCGACAGATCCACCAGGTCGGCAAACCACGGGCATCTTGGCCAGTATGGAGCAACTAAGATTAGCTCCGCCTGTTCGTGAAGAAGCTTGCAAATAGTCGCCTGTAGTAATGGCAGAGGAGGGAAGGCATAAAGTACGCCCTCTGACCATCTGCTCCGGAGGGCATCTGTTCCCTCCGCCCCTCTTGCCGGGAATCTGGAAAAGAACCTGGGGAGCTGTGTGTTGCTCGATGAGGCAAAAAGATCTAGGATGGGATAGCCAAACCTGTGTGATATTTCCCTGAACAGGGTTGAATCCAGTTTCCACTCTGAGTGATCCACTGTGGCTCTGCTCAGGGAATCTGCCTGTTGATTTGCCTCTCCCGAGATGTGTTCCGCTCTGTTTGATCTTAGAGTGGCCTCTGCCCAAAAGCCTATGGCCAGAGCTTCCTGCATGAGTGACCAAGAGTGGGTCCCCCCTTGTTTGTTTACGTGAGCCTTGGCCGCAATGTTGTCTGTCACGATCAACACGTTTCCCTGACACAAGGGGGGAGAACCTTTGGAGAGCCAAGTGGATGGCCCTGAGCTCCAACCAATTTATGTTGTGAGCCAGGTCTGACCTGGACCACTGACCTTGGGCTAGGTGGTGCTGAAGATGTGCTCCCCAACCGAACAGACTGGCGTCTGTGGTCAGGGTGATCCTGGGCGGTTCCTTGAAGAGGGTGCCCTTGTTCAAGGCGGACGAAGTCCACCACA